GAGCTACTCTTAGTTGTCTCTTACCGCCGTTGTCAGCTCATACCGCTAGTGGCCCCCACTGTTCGGCCGCATGCCTCTGAAATGCTGTATCAGTATGTACTCTAACCATTCAACAGTTGTGTGAATGTTCGCGTTGCGATGCATATCGTGACATCGCAATGGGCAGACACGCAACACGACATGAAAGGATGTGATGTAAGAAAAAATAACAATTTTCAAAAAATAAAGAAAAAGATAGCATTTAAAATAAGACAAACATCGTCAAAGGTACATTTTTACAACTAAACATCACTTATCTAAAAAATAACTAATCCATATCATAAAATGATCTTTCTCCCATACATAATTACAATCTTTGTTTCGTCCTTGCTCTCTGAATTCGCAGCGAATTGGCTTCAGTAACGCGCAGATTCATAAAAGATATGGAACGCGCTGTCGATTATTTGCTTGCTTGTTTGTTTGTTTTGTTTGTTTATTTGTTGGGAAGATGCGTTATTTCCCATTATTTCAGACGACCCTGGAATGCAGACACCTCTATAAATGTGCCACAGTGACAGTAGATCAAAACTTTGGTTAATGAGGCTGATAAGGCGACACTGCAGGTTCACTTAAAAATACGTCTAATATATTTTCCCCCCCAAAAGCACCCTGGAACAGTCCCTAGTAATCAACACTGAAACACATATATAGCACATTATCTTATGTTCAGACAGTAACGGAACTTTTCTTTCGGCTATTCGGCCATTGCTCCTCCCGATATCAATGACATGCACACATACTGGCGCACGCAGGTGTTTTATAGAACAAATAAAAATAAGATAGTAATACTACCATCTGGTTAGGCGGGTTCGGGAAAAATCATATTTACGGGTTATGATTTAGTTTGTTAATTCAGGATTCAGTTTGTTAATTTTGTATTTTATTTTTAGATTCTCCCCAGTTCTGATTAATGCAGTATTTTAAGCATTTCTGCAGTTATATTTATAAAGAACACCATTTTCTCTCATGCCACATTCAAACAGTTGCTGCATGGGGGAATAACTGATTCTCGAGCCATTGATGTCAACCAATCAGGTATCCCGGCACCTATTAAGGTCGCACTTAAGAGGGTCACCCTTAAGCAATATCTTAAGGGATTGTTCAGGGACCACGTGTAGAAATGACTCTAGCAAGGTATACCTTTCGGGAAAACTAGCCCAGATTGGGACTCGACATCGGCATATATAAATAAAAAGTGGATCAGGGACGATGCAGGAAAGCAGCCATGACTTTAGAGTGAAATTACTGGTCCATGGGCGTAAATCACGGGGGGGGGAGGGGGTTGTACCCCCCCCCCAATAAATCAACACCACAACCCCCCGAATAATCATTTTTCTCCCCTAATGGGTGGAGACCTCAACCCCTCCAATGTTCCAGCCAAAGTTACGCCCTTGTACTGGTCCATACATTGAGCACCACTTTACTCGTACAAGCCTTTGCAAACATTTAATTTTGAACAAAAAGTAACACACAGACATTTTTCTCTGAAGCAATATTTATATTGCACACCATTTTGCTTAGGGCTGCCAGGGGCTTCCAACGTATGCGGGAACACGCACGCTTACTTTAAAAATGACCTAATTGCGCAAAGTAATATAACTGCCCCCCCCCCCCACACACACACACACATCAATATTTTTAAATTTAACATTTCGACCTTGTTTAAACAAATTTCCACATAAAGCATAATTAGTTTTGAATCACTTTATAAAAAGTTTCATATTTCCCAAATGTATTATATAACACAAATGGTAGCGGAGAATCATGTGATCAGTATATTGGCCAAACAAAAACAATATTTCGGAATTGTATTAATTGTGAGGAGATGAGGATTTCAAAAATATTTTGTTTGCAATTCATATTAATGTTTGTATATCGTTTTTGGAGATAAGAATGGAATTTCCTTCGGCCAAAACAAACTGGCTGCAGAACTATTAGGCAATCCAACAAATGATTTTATAAAATAAGTAATACGTACGCTATCTATCCAAGTATAATTTTCCTCTCATTTTCAGAGCAGTCAATCTAATTTAAGTAACAATAATTATTTACATTGTTTCATGGGTTTCTAAGAGGTGAGACGAAATGAAGAATTATTTTTTGTTGAATCCTGTCCTGCCTCTGCACCGTACGAACACCGACGGGAAAGTCTGTCTTGTCATTTTACTGTCCGAACAGAAGATGGCATCATTCCCTAAGTCTGTCACCTCACAATTGGAGACACTAGGTGGAAATAAATTCATGCAATAAGTTTGACAGTGTACCATAAATGTATTCACGTATATTCGCCCTTACACCCTCCACTGTTATATAAGCAATATATAGGGCCAATGTGTTTGATATATGAGAAAACACCTATAATTACACGAAAACAAAAGGGCAAAAAACAAATAAATATTTTATTTATTTATTTAACATTAAGAGATATTATAATTTGACCGTCTCATCGGGATCCATAATATACAGCAAGAGGTAATTCCGCTACCAAAATGTCATGCATTTCGTGAGGGGTGCATCCCATGAGCGTAAATTATGGGGGAGTGGTAGATGAAGGGGTGGCAACCCCCACCCAACCCCCCAATAATCAAAACCAGCCAATACAACCCCCTGGACCCCCGTTAAATGGGTAGAGATCTCAACCCCCCATGTCTTCAACCCAAAGTTATTTTTGCAGTAGCCTATAATGTGATAGCTGGGATACAATACAATGGTACAGGGATAGACATCCCTGATCCTGGAGTGCCGATATCCAGCAGGTTTTCTATCCTCCCTCGTATCTGATGAACCACACCTGATCTCAGGCAGATAGTAACTCGTCAGGTATAGGACAGAATACCTGCCGGATACCGGCACTCCATGATTAGGGTTGCATACCCTTAGAATAGCAGATAATGGATGGTATTTTAAGCAAAGCAAGCCAGATTCCGTGGTAATTCCGGTACCGTAGAAGTAGCAATTTATTTAAAAAACATCAAATACGATGGATAATTTACAGCTTGATGCGTTTTAGCGGTGCCCGGTTAAACCGACTGCTCCGAGGGGACACGGTGTTTCCAACATCCCGGTTTTTTAAACTTTAAAAGTTAAACATTTCAAAAAGGAAACAAAAAAAAAACGACTCACCTTTTGGGCAGCAGCGGTTAACCTCTCTGGGGAGCGACCCTTTGCTGAAACCCCTCTGCTGCTCCGTCGAACATTTAAATTACTTTTTAAGTGTTCGTGTCTGTGCGCCATTTTTCCATGTTTCATGCCACCCTCAAATTTAAGACTGGCTAAACACTGTCATATTGCGGAGGAAATCTGTTCGCCTCGTGCACCACGTCGGTTTCTCCACTTGGACTGGGTTAATGGTAATTTCAGGTTTGCCAAGACCTGGCAACATTTCCAGCTCAAGTACTTTACAGAAAACCGCACAATATAGCCTGAAATCAGCCTTAAGTGTGTCGGTGGTTCAAGGTATCTGGCAGTGCAGTGACAATATAGCCTAGGTTTTAATTCCTTTAACTAGGTTCCGAGCTTAGGATTTAAATGTTTTTAATCACAGTGTCCGTATGTTCGAATAGAGAAGCCGGGACTAGCAGGCTGCAGGGTTTTGCATCCACTTCTGAAACGGAATTATTTTGCCATATCGCAGCACCAGAACAGTACTTTTGAAATTTGATTACAGATGCATCGCGATAGGCCTAAATCTCGGAGATGATGTGCTTTTTGGGTTTGACCTAATATCCGTCTGGGCGTGCGGGAGCCTGCACTCACCTACCGACACTAGTACCTACCCCTTACTTGCTATATGAACATACGTAGGCCTGCTTACATTTTTATCGTATTGACTTAAAATCTTATTTATCCGCGATCTTTTACCCTAAAGCTAGCATTATATGGCGTGAAAAGCACGGACATGGCGAGCCTGTTGGCAATTTTCATCATGCTTCGAAAGAGGGTCAAGAAAATGTATTAGTTTTCAGATTAAAACATCTTTTACTGACAGGTCAGCATGGCAAATCCTCACATTTATTCTTGTCGTTTGCTACACACGAATGACGCAAATCTAACCCCTTCCAGTGGATACTTCGCATATCCGGACCGGACCGGACTCGTGATAGCTTGTAAGTCTATTAAAAATGTTCCTTTCCACGTTCACTCGCTTCCTGGCCCTGTCCATGCAGATAGCAGCCAGATAAAATGACACAAGTCAAGGCCAAGGACTATGAGCAAAGCCAATTAATTCAGGTCCGGCTATTTTATCAAGGTGCCTAATCATTGCTCAGGTGGAACAGCACAACAGTACGAACAAACTAAATGGATAAACGCCCAGTATATATAGAGGTACCACAATATCTCCGAAAACAGTAATTTTTTGTGGGTTATCACTTTCATATCAGTTTTATCGGTAGCTTTACAGTTATGTTATTATTACTTAGCTGGACAGTAACAAACATCTGTTTCACCACCATCTTCTCAACTCGCTTCCCTAACAATCTGGACAGTGTTTTCCTATCTGGGCACATTGCCGTGCCCTGTGTATAAGTGTAATACACCCCATGACTCAATCACCACCAGGAAAGCCAGAAATTTAAATAAAACCTTTCGCATGCAGTCTATGTAAGATGCAGGCATATTCCGACTATCTGTGAATACATCCAGCGGTTTGCAAAACCCACATCGAGTTTTACGTAGTAATATTGCATTATAATATGAAATACTCTGTCCCTGTGTGCGCCATACGCAATTGTTCTGGGTCAAAAACAATCATTATGAAAATCATAAAAATAATGATTGATAATTATTTTTAAAAACTATCTATTTTAAGGTAATCAGTGGTCTTTTATTTCGGGTTTTTATTTTTTGCTCATTAAAAGACATATTATATCTTTGGTCTGAATTAGGTCCCGGACCCCCTCTGCGCTGAATGTTGGCTTGTGTTGATTCTGTCAGCGCTGCGAGGCGATCGGCGTGCGGAGCCGGGTCGAGAGGCGGGCAGCCTCAGTCGGAGTAGCGCCAGGGGAGGACAACAGCCCCGTTGTGCCCAAATCGCAGAAAACCCAGGGACCCGAGAAACCTACACAAAACCTGTGGCTCTTCCTAACGAGCGTGCACCTAAAGGTAGGACTCGTCGCAATCTGAACACTTCATGTGAGGACGCAAAGTGAATTAGGCTGCTTAGGTGACAATGGTTATTGTGTATAAAATGGATTAAATGTAGGCCCACAATTAAAAATTAAAGGAAAATCTGCTGAAATAATTAGATGCAAATTCTAATGCGAGTATGCAATCAGTCACAGAGATTTCATTAGTAAAAAAAAAAACGTACATATGGAATTTTAAATAAACTCATCAGTTATCTGTATTAATTACAGTCCCAGATATTAACAAGGTTTGGGCCGACGTTGGCTTATGTACCGACTCCTTTTTTCCTATATATTCCTTTTTTCATATATATATGCACACCATTTCTGTCGTATTTTTTGGATTTCAGAGACGATACAGAGAAGATGAAAATATCCCTGGTTGTTGCTATTTTATGTGTTGCACTTTTGACCGGCGATGCTACGCCATCAAACCGATTGTCCTGTTACAAAAAAGTGCTGAAGAACCGGGACTGTCATAATATCGCCAACGGGATCGATATGCTGCGACCCATCGACTCCCTCCAGAACCACTTCTGGGAAGGAAGCAAATGCGACGTGGTCTGTTTCTGCAACTTCAGTGAGCTGTTGTGCTGCCCCAGGTAATGCCATCTTGGGCCGGCAGGTGGCGTTAGCCGCCTAAATTAACAAGGAGGCGCCTATGTTGAGGTGTCGAGCGTGGCGCAGGGCGAATGCGATCCGGCCTCGGGCAGTCCTTGAACACAGGCTACATTGTCGTTTTCCTCACCAAGTCGTTCATATTTTCACGTGTGCATCTGTGTACTGCAGTTGTTGCGAAGGGTTATTCAAATAAATACCCGCTGTGTTTACATTGTATAATGCTTTACGTAATTGCAGCTTGGAGTTGGGAAGGTACTAAACGCCCTGGGTCTGCATAAAACTGTGCCATTAATCTAATAATATGTTTACACTATGACAGTTGTGGGGAGTTTTATACTATATGCTTATTTGGAAAAAGTTCTTTTCCGATATCAGCCTATATCAACTCTTCACGCGACTTTTCGTGGTAAAGTTGATTTTTCTAAAGAGGAAATTCATGTTGTGTTTCAGAGATGTTTTCTTCGGACCGAAGATCTCCTTTGTCATCCCATGTAAAAACGCTTGAAGGCAGATTTCCTGGAGACGAGCGGCAGCTTGAGACGCGCTGCAGGCGAGGAGCTGGACGAACCGGTCTTTCTCCCTCTTCGGAACACCCACGACCTCCCCCGTCGTAACTTGTAAAACACTATAAATGCGCAATCTGCAATTTAAATACATTGCAGCTGATGACTTACCAGTGTAATAATGATTACGGTGTACATGACTGAAGTCTCAACGTGTCCTCGAGTTCAGGTCTTAAGCGCTTGAATTTCGTGAATACCACACTACAAGCAGACCGTTCCATCTGTCGAAGCTGACGTTTATTTTCATAACCACATTAGAAACACCTTATAAAAAGAAAACGGACTCTACCATTGTTTTAAAGAAATATTACAACAGAGTATGAGTATTGTACACACAATGTACTCGAAATACACTTGATCATTTATATAATTATAATCAAGTTCCTTTAAAATATTTACTCATGTAAATTCAGATTAAACTTTTTGTTCAAAACATTGTGTTGTATCGAAATCAACGTTTAGCGTTTTTAATTAACAGTTTATTTGTTTTGCTAATTACCATAGGCTACCGTGAAGCCTTTGTTATCGGACCAAAATGCAACTGTTGGTTTAATTTTAAGGTTGCATTATCTGAGTATACTTAAATTAGTCTGTTTGTACCCGCAGCTAGCAGAACTTCTACAAGACGCTTAACTGTTTCCAAGTATCTTATTTCACCCACGTCTGTCGTATAATTTAAAAACTGCATGTATAGCCTTTGTTTTGCTGGTAAAAGGAGTTGCAGTGTACTGAACTGCTGGCAAGACTTCTGTGCGCTGCAGCGACGCAGCAGGATGCGAAACCTTATAACTGCCTGCATCTCCTCATATTTCCGTTGTAAGTCATATCGGTTTCATTTTTTAACAGAATTGCTGTAGCCGGTAACACATTCAAAGTCGGAACATCCTCAGAGACAGCGGGGTAATTTGATAGGCTCATGCATGCTAAACTATTTAGCTAAAACTCCGTGAAGTCTGTCCTGACTTAGCCAAGAGAAAGGTGAGATTGTGAGGGGATGTTACTTGAGAGTGAAAGACTGACTCACACGCCCTGTGACATCATTAGTGGGCTTCATGTATGAATTCCTACATATTTTGGGGGAGGGGGTATTCCACCCCATAGTTTACAGAAAAGTAGGTGAAACTAAAGAATGCGTGTCTGGCCCCCACAGGGTTCAAGTTACCAATATATAACTTTTTACATTCCCACCCCCCCTGCTTCTTCCCAAAATATTTAGATGTTTTTTCCTAATTCATTGCATTATAGGAAATCAGGCCATAAAGGACTGATGTGTAAATGTTTCCTAATAATAGCAATGATATTAAACTATCTCATCTCGGACATTACTCTACACCTACATTTTAAACAGGCTAGTAAACATATGCATCAGTTAAACTTAAAAGCTTCAAGGATAGATGGTAATGTCATGGTACTTTAATGGCTCTGTGAGCATTTTCACACTTGGTGAACCTCATTCACCTCAGCCTGTCTTTTAAGGCCCATCCACTATGCGAGAGGTGTTTTTTCAGTCGTTGGGATTGATAAACAGCTGGGGGCTTAGGGTATGTAAATGATTCATGCACCTTTGCTTCAGAATGACTTTGCACTACAATGGCCGGTGGTAGTTTCAGTGATAGCTGCTCATTCCCATATCCATTAAGAGCCCAGCAGGAGAGGAGAGCAATCACTATTGGTCACCTTAGAATTGATTTGCTATTGGAGTTTCCAGCTTTAAGACTATTGTAGGTCTGAATTATGGGTGGGTAGTAGGGGAATCACCCTGAAAACAATGCTAAGGAATATTCTGGACTTTGAGATAAAATAATGCTTTGCTTTATCAACATTTGTCACAAAGAATTTGAACATTATTCCTACTCATACCATTCGAAAAATTCACATCAAGTTCTTCATTCCAGGACCAGACATGCAGGGGTTTGTCATAAACCCCCTATTCCAGCAACAAGTGTATATTGTAACACATTAAAATTTTGGATTAAAAAATTAAAACCAGCCATAGTGCACTGGTGTATTTAAACATTGCTGGAGAGTCCTTGGGTTTGGGGTTTTGTCTTACAGACTGAGATGTTATACAGACAGTCTTAGCCCATAACAAGAGAAGTCAATGGGACAGGAATCCCAGGGAGAAAGCACCACATCTCACTGCAAACTAACACTTAATCACATTAGCTCAGAATTTCTTAACTCTGCCACTTGCGTTTCCTACAGATCTTGTCTGTAAATGAAAAGTGTGCCACCTTAAACATGGCTCAGAACTTGGGTTTTAAAACCAGGTGTTTGTTATTAAACATATTCATTTTCAGGTTTCTTACAAGTGCCATTTAAGCTTACAGCCATATTGAAAATACAGGAAGGATATCTCTTAGACTTAATCCACAAGAAGAGAACTGTTTTCAAATTCACTAGTTTACCTAAACAGCCATTTGTTTCATTGTAACACAGGAAGAACATGCAAAATCACCCACACACAGAAGCTTTGGTGTGAAAAGGCTGCCAGCTGAACCATAATGCTACATTCGAAGCATACAGAGAAGCAATCTAGCATCCATCCATCTTCCATAACTGCTTGCCATATTCAGGGTCATAGGGGGTCCAGAGGCTGCAGGCAGCGACCAACCCAGGATGGGGCACCAACCCATCAAAGGGCACACACACATACCTTTCACACCTACGGGCAATTTGGTAACTCCAAATAACCTCACCATATTTTTGGACTGTGGGGGGGAAACCCCATGATAACACGGGGAGAACATGCAAACGTCTCACACATAGAGCTGGGGCAGAGACTCAAACCCTGGTCCTGCAAATGAAGTATACGAAGAGAATAATAATAAGTAGTGCTGGCTGTGGGGGATATCTGGTGCAATAAAATACCATGAATGAGAATCTAAAGCGGTGTGGAATCTACACATAAACAGATCTAATTAAAATAATGAAGCAGCCCAAAAATGTGCAATGCATTCAAAAAAAGATTTCCTCATGTTTGACCGATCTAAAGACTTGGGAGTGTTGCTCAGCACCGACAGATGGGAAGGCCGTGTAACAGTGTGGGCTTGCTAGTTTGGCGCTCTGATTGCGTCTGGTTGCTGGACTCTGCGAGACCCCATCAGCTCAGGACAAGAGATAAACACAGACAGATTGCCTTACATCCTGTGGTGTGCTGGACTGGAGGGCAGAGAACGGATTAGCTCCAGTGCAGTGTATGGCCTAATAGACTTTTTCCTGGCTTTGTTCTGCATACAAGCAAACTCCTGTTTTCAAAGATGCCACATGACCCAATCCTAAGTAATAAAAATAAATTCAGTACCTTAATGCAAATTTTAATTCAGCATGGAGACCAAGCCAAACAATCACCATATAAAACAATATGCTATTGGACATACAACTTAGGGGCTGAGACGACAATGATTCAACCTGTAGAACTGCTGCAGTACTTAAACCTGACTTAAATTTCTGTTGTGCTTTCTTTGCAATTTTCAAGGATTATCAATTTGTGTGCTAATAGGCTTCTTCAGATGACAGTACTTTATTGTGGCTTTAATTACACGTTTCCTGTAACTGAAATAAACCATTCCTTAAGTTATTTCAGTCATGAACCACCTTTCAAAGACAAATCTTAATTGTACTTTTAATGCCTACAGTGTTTCTCTTGGTTGGTAAGAGTCAACTTATAAACAGTAATTTTGTCGGGATAAACAATGCTATACTCGGTGTTATGCTATATAAACCGCGTATGTGTAAAATACGATGCCTTAATCACTGGCCACTGAAAGCCCCACCCGCTTCTTCTTCATAGCATCAAAACAGAGGGCGGGAGGAAGCGGCAGCTGACAGGCGCTTTCCCGCTGCGCGCCATGTGGGCCGGCGCGGAGAGGTGTCACCGGCGCGGTACGGCACGACTGGCCGGGGGCCGTCTGGCTCAGTGGCGCGCACGGCTCCAAATGGAGGCTTTAACTACTGAAGCAGCACAACAGGGCTCAGCCAAACGTGTCCCTGGGGGCTTTTCGGGATTCATGCACTGTAATAATAGTCAAATATTTACTTATATTAAGTTATTATTGAAATACTTACTCAGTCTTCACAGACACGAATAACGGCGAAAATATCAAACGGGGAGAATTAATGTTTCAACAGGGAGACAAATTTATTTACTCTTGTTCATTTGACTAATAATTCCGACTGAAATTGTGTCGTATTTCTATTTTTACATGACTGTACTACGCTCGACTTTCTTTTTGGGGCGCGTGGTTGCACTTTCTTAAAAAACATTGCATCCGTCGTGGGTAGTGACGGGCTAGCCGAGCGGCCAATTCCGGTTCGCGGCAGTCGTCAGCCAGCTGGCTAATTTAATTTCAGCCCTCCTTTGTTCCCCGACACGGCTCTCCCATCTCTGTAGCTGTTGTTTTTGTAATTCAAAACACCGCGCGCGCGCGCCCCCATCCCTCCCCCCGCTCCACGTTCACCCAATCGCAGCATCGTATTGTCAACGCCTGGGCCACGGGCATTTGGCGCCGTCGATTTAAAATCCCAGGCTTGTCCAATCACCGCAGAGTCTGCTCTCTCCCCCTCCTCCGGGGGCGGCCGCAGCGGTTTGACTGACGGCGGCAGCGCGCGGCAGGAAGGCGCCGTGGGCCAATCAGTTCATGGTGTCGCCCGAGCCGGGGCTCGGATTCAAATTTGAATGCTCGAGGAGAACCAACGGCGGAGCGCGAGGGAGGAGTTGCTAGCGCATTTAATCAAGTTTATGTGAACGGTACGGCAGTGAAAAAACACTGCGAGGAAGTTAGTGAGTGCACTCTACGACAAAGTTTACAGGCTCATAGAGGTGAGTACGGAGCTTCGCTTTCTCTCCTTATTATTGTCCCGTTAGGAAATTAAAACCTGTATTTCATTTGTGACTTTATTTTGGAGAATTTATTTTCCTAATTTTTAATTTTGTAACTTCAGTTCAGGTTACTTCAGTGCTTATTTACCCAAAAAACTAGTTTGAATACTACAGACGTAAATGCTGTAGCTGTACTTTTATTATAAAACTAAATTGCTTGTTCCGCTATTTCTTTCCTCACGATCTGAACCGCCTAAGCAGGCTTTATGCGCCGTAGCACACGCTCGTTAGCCTAGCGGCTATAAGACTTTGGCCGCCTTTGAGATCTCGGCGGTCACCTAAATAGTCAATGGGGATTTTTAGACGGTGAGTACCGATAGTTATTGAAATAACCGCGTGAATAAGCTTATTAGCCGGGATTTTTAAGCCGTACGAAGTCCCGAAACTACCGCCGAGCGCCCAGACATGGCCGAGCGAACTTTAGGCGGGAAACAAGATGGAGGCACCGCTCATTGTTCTGGCGTCTCCGCGGCGGGATCGTGTCGGGATTAAAGTGGGATAAGAGCGTCTGACGGGATAAAGCACCGGGCTGCGAGGCGCCAGAGGCTCATAACCGGCTTTTTGCTCCACGGCGCCCTAAACGCGCCGCACAGGGAGTTGCTGCCATGGGTAAAGATCCGAACAAGCCACGGGGGAAGACGTCCTCCTACGCCTTCTTCGTGCAGACATGCAGGGAGGAGCATAAGAAGAAGCACCCGGGCACGTCCGTCAACTTCGCCGAGTTCTCCAAGAAGTGCTCGGAGCGATGGAGGGTGAGGCGGGCGTCCGGCCGCGCCTTTTTCCGGGATTGTTGCGGGGGAGGTGGTGCTACAGAGTGGCCCGGGGGCTAATAGTGGGGCTCGCTGCGTTTCTTGTAGACCATGTCTGCGAAGGAGAAGACCAAATTCGAGGACATGGCGAAGAGCGACAAGGCTCGTTATGAGCGGGAGATGAAGAACTACATTCCTCCTAAAGGAGCCAAGGGAGGCAAGAGAAAGAAGGATCCGAACGCCCCCAAGCGTCCACCGTGAGTGTTGCTGCCGGGGGGGGGGGTTAGTCTCCACCCTCAATAGTGTAATATTATAATCGTGTCTTCCTACATGCCAAACAGGTCGGCCTTCTTCGTCTTTTGCTCTGAGCACCGTCCAAAGGTGAAGAGTGACCACCCAGGTATCTCCATCGGGGACGTGGCCAAGAAGTTGGGTGAGATGTGGGCCAAGCAGACGTCCAAGGACAAGGCCCCCTTTGAACAGAAAGCCGCCAAGCTGAAGGAGAAGTACGAGAAGGTAGGTCTGCCCCCACCCCACCAGCTACCGAAACTGGCACACTGGTGCACATCTAACCAAACCGTTCCCTCCCCCAGGATGTGGCTGCCTACCGCGCCAAGTCTGGAGATGGTGGGAAGAAGGGGGCGTCCGGTCGGTCAGCCGGGGCAAAGAAATCAGAACCGGCAGATGATGATGACGAGGAAGACGAGGAGGATGATGAGGAAGACGAGGATGAGGAAGATGAGGAGGATGATGATTAGGCCTGGAGGCTTGAGCAGTATTTACAAAACAAGAATGTGAACTATGGAATGCAACACATTTGGCATTTGGGTTTTCAGAACATGTACAGAAATGTGTATAGCTGTAATACATATTAGGTTCATGTGTTGTTTTGTAAATTGTAGTATCTGGTCCTCGAAGCACTGCTTTTTGTTTTGGATAGTGGTGGGTTCTCCCTTTTGTATGCTTCCACTGCCGTTTTTAAATATACAAACGTGTAGTACAGGATTTTTTTTTTTACTTGGAGCTTTAAAACTTTGTTCTGTGTAGATGCAATTTTTATAATAAAATTTTGTATATTATGATTGATACTTTGATTGTGCTGCTTGGTTTTTTTTTTTGGATGGCAGTATTATAGATTTGGGAGGCATTTTCATGTTCTGCTTGTATGCCCGAGATGGATCCACACAATAATTCTCCCAGTGCTATCAGTGTGGGCCAATGGAAAAACACTTAAAATGGATGCATGCTTCCTGTTGCAGTTAAAATTTGAGACTCAGTGTGAAACAACTGCACAACTAAGGTTTAAAGTTTTGATGAACACAGATCCCCCAACAGGAAGCATGGTGTAAGAACATGCTGGCCTGCCTCTGCTATACCCATATTATACTAATAAAATATCAGGGGTCTGCACACATTTGCAGTAATATATCCCAAACATAAATCTGTTGTAATGAAACGGTGTGCTTCTAGTAGATTCTGCTAGTGCCTCTGAATACCTTTACCACAATGCTGATTATGCATGACACATACATGGGCAAATCAGTGGGAGAAAAAAAACATCCAATGTTAACCAATGTCTTCAAAACTTTATGAGCAGATGAATTGAGCACTTATTTTACAGTAATTGTAAAGAAATGATTTTGAAACCCCTGAGGAAAATACTATCATCTGAGACAGCTGTAAACATCCATCATGGAGCCTGGCCAGTGATTAACGTTTCCGGTGGTTTATAAGGTGGCCAATCCATTGCTGGCTTCTCTTTTTTTCCAGATGCAGTTGCTATTACTGCACCTGTTTCTCAGACCTGCTGCATGAATGATGCTTCCCAGATTCACACTGCTACAATACTGTTCATCTCCCACTTCTGAGTGGTCTTGTTCCTGTCACACTCGGAAATAAACACCGTGTGCAGGATGTCTGATCTGTCCAGGCACTTCGCTGTGGGAACATGAGTGAACCGGTGCAGATCCTGTAAAAAAGTCAGAATTCATTTATTTTATGAGGAATAACCTAACAGACAGTTTGTCACAGAAGACAGTAGCTATATAAGGTTAAAAAACAATAGGCTATCGTTCCTACTGAAGTCTCCCCCGGTTTTAAGCTATCATGGGGAATTCATAATTAAAGCTGACATTTAAAATCATATGGCTTCCAAATGTAAAATCGCAAGCGCTTCAGTGGATCTGTCTAAATTGTAAGGACTACATAAAAAGAAATTGCAGCTCAGAAAACGTTCAGCTTAATCATGTCTGATGGGAACACAGTGGGAAAATCCACTTTCCTTGCAGAGGTACGGATTTTTCACTCTGGACAAAGAATCCACCAATGATACAACATTTAATATTCACACACATGAAATTAGTATCAGTCAATTTCAATGTCCACTCCTCTGACAGGAAGAAAGATGTAAAGGCTGACCTTAAAATACTTCCACTCCATGTTCTCGTTCAGATTGCAGTGATTTATGTTGACCGACATCACGTCTGTGCCTTTGATCAAACATTGGTCATTCTGCATGAGCTGGTTGGCTTCATTGATCCGGAAGAGCTTGAAGAGACCAGTGATGATTGGTTACTAATGGACTATTCACTGAGGAAAGTGCTGGTACATCCAAAAGCATTAGTTAGCAATTCTGAAAGTAGCCTTGCAGCCACAGAAACACTAATATTAGCAATGAAATCAAGGAAAAAGTTATTACCTGATTCCCTCCCATTCTGTGACAAGGTCCGATTTCCACATTGCCTCCGTTTGTGTGACCCATGCTGTCTATGCAGTAATTGCTCTCGTATCCTCGTATCTGGTGGAAAATGCCAGTCATTCGATTGACTCCCTAGAACATCTCTTACAAACCAATAAACAGCAACAGACAGTACAACTTAGCTAGTTAGTAACACATAGCTACTTAATTAGCTTTCAGTAATTAATCTGGACAGCATTGTTATGGAAGTATGGTGTGGCGTCTAGTCAGTCCTTATCTTTGGGCCTATTTTCTTTGTTTATGTCATTGTTAACATGGTTTAAATTGTCCTAGTATGTGAAGTGCAAAGTAAACATACTGGATTTGGATTGTGTTTAACCGTCTATGTGCAGTGATATTGAAGTTTTATATCGGGTAAATATTAGCAATTTGACTGTAACAACGTGATGAATCCTGTCATGTTGTTATCTGCAATTTCCTGTCGGGTCATTTCTGATAAATGCCCTGGTTCTGAATGAGCAGGCTCCTTGACTTTCCTCGCCCCACTCTCTGGACGAGCCCTGAGCGTAGCAGAAAAGAGGGGAACCAGATACCTCCCCCCAGACCACGTTCTTGGGAGGCAGTGGGTAGTGCTTGGGGATGTCATAGGCGATCTCTTCCATGAACCATTTAAAGCTCTTGCAGTTGCGCTCCTCACGGAATTTCTTCAGCTCACTGATGTCCCCGTAAGCCAGAGCTTCTGTCTCCGGCCGGCTGGCATAGAAAAAGTCTTTGTACTCGTCCCACCAGACCTCCACTACACGGACGTAATTCTACCGGGGCGAGGGGGGGAGGGGGGGGAGTCAAGAATGTACAATGTACATCAATCTTTCAGGCCAACTGAATATGTCTGTTTCCATGGCAATACAAATTTTCATTTAATATTTTATTATTTTTATTTATTTTCTGGTCTGACTGAGGCAGTACACAAAATAAGTATAAACAAAAAAATCCATTGAGAACTGGCCTGCTTTTAAAAGTGACTAACAGTTATTTCTTGCCCAGCTCAAATGATCCCAAGATGGATGCCAGACACAGAAAGCAAAGCATGAAGACAGTGTGGCCACTGACCTTCAGTGTGGGGGAGGAGCCCACGTGGGCTGGGGGAGGATTTCCCTGCCAGCCATGCAGCCGGTAGATATGTCCGATCCGGGAACAAGGCACAAAGAGCAGCTGACCCCCGCACTGCCAGATCTGTGGAAACCGATCCCCCTGTCCATCAAATCTATCTGGCCAATCACAGCCCGCACACATGCACAGTATCAACCAATCAGGCCAATCACAGCCTGCATATAAGCTCTGTATTTAACCCTGCTATGAGTCATATAGTTTTATGAATCCACTAATGATAATGCTGTCAGGAAATATTACTGCCACTGCACATAATGATTATGATGTACAAATTGAGGCCAAGAATCCATCCATCCATCCATTTTCTGTAACCACTTGTCCTATTCAGGGTTGCAGGGGTCCGGAGCCTATTCCAGAGGTTACGGGCACAAGGCAGGGAACAACCCAGGATGGGGTGCCAACCCATCACAGGGCACACTCACACTAGAGAGTGTGCCAATCCGTCCCCGTAAACATCTAAACCGTCCCCACCTGGTCCCCGTGTTTACCAACACACCAGCAGTACAGTGTAAAATTAAGCATGTCCATATTTGCTTTTAAATATCTTAGTTATTAAATGACTCACTGCCATCAGGTGGTGCTGAGGTGAGAACAAATTATTTAACAGAATAAAAGGACTTAAAAGTAATAAAAGCAAACATAAGAATATGTATTTACAGGCAATTTCATTACCGTTACTGTGGTGCTACCATACATTTTACTACCCTCCCCACAAGAATACCATGAAGATCATACCCATTCCCATTAGCACAGGAATATTTTAATTTCTCTCCCCCATTACCGCGGTATTACCACGTTCCCCATTCCCGTGCATTCCTTTATCACACACCACTCACTCACACATACACACCTATGGTCAGTTTGATAACTGCAATTAACCTCAGCATGTTTTTGGACTGTGGGGGGATCCCGGAGTACCCGGCGGAAACCCCACGACGACACGGGGAGACCAGGCAAAGTCAGCACATATGGGGAGACCAGGCAAAGTCAGCACATATGGAACCCAGGCAAAGAGTCCAACCTTGGTCCTGGAGGTGTGAGGCTACAGTACACCACTGTGCCACCCCGAGGCCAAGAATCAAGATACACAATTTGAAAGAGTGTTCTAGAAATCAGTTTGAAAGCATTGAAAGCTGTGGCTTCATTAGAGGCCAAAATAAGGAATATGAAGCAGTTTTTTATTTTTGCCCAGCGGATCTATTCAGATCTGTTTCTGCTATAAATAACAGACGGGATTCCCTTCTAGGATGGCCCCGCCATGTGTCGCCAAACTTGGGCTGGATAAGCAGTTAAGGATGATGGATGGATGGATAGATGGATGGCTAACAGAACATTAGCATTTCGCCAGAGCCCGATTTCTGACTGTATTCCCGCAGTGCTGACGGCTGACGTTCACCTTGTAGGAGATCTCAAAATTTTCCCCTCCCCAGATTTGCAGGCCGGGATCGTAGAGTCCCAGTTCGAAGAAGAAATCTCGCTCGATGGCGAACAGCCCCCCAGCCATGGCCGGAGATCTGAAAGAAAGGAGGCGCTGAGGTCTTCATCAGGGAATGCTGGCAGCGTAACGATGGCAGGACTGAAAAAGCGTGCAGGATGAACGTAAGGGTAAGGAAATCAGAGAGCACAGGAAACAGGGAGCACACACACGGCTGTGAATCCATACAGGGAGGGGGAGTGAATATTTCAATCAGGCCCAAAGTATCAGGTGGGAGGGGTTGTGTTTCATGTGGGCCTGGCTGAAGTGATTTTTTTGGGAATTATGTGCAGTGGGCCTGATTTCAATTAATTGAAGCAACGGTTTGACATTATCAGGGTGGCCAACTCTGGTCAGTTGGCTGGCGTTTCAATTCCAGACAAGTCTGTACACGCATGCACACACATCTGCATGTAGGTCATTTTATTAGCTTGTAAAATAATCTGTTTGGTTCGCAAACTACCCCAACACTTCAGATGTGGCTAATTTTAGGTTCATAATGGAATAATACAGATTTGCCGAAAGACATCTCGACATGAGCGTGAGTGAGAAAGATGCGTGAGAGTTTGGCGACCCTGCAGTGTGGAAACAGTGCTTATTAGTTGTTTATTTATTAGCTGTTAGCATGCATGCTACAATTTATGCCCCTAAAAAGCGGATTTGGGAACGGGGTGGGGGGGTGGAATGAAAGCGTCCTGATGGGGTAAGAGTTGAACAGCAGAGATAACAGAACTGGCCCA